TATTGTATTGAGATGCATATGATGTCATGAATTCAATTAATTCCATCAGTTGGATGTTTTGCCTTCAAGATTGTCTTCCAATAAACAACTGGTTTCCTGGTTTTTGCATTGTTCCCATTTCTGAGCAGAGAGTTGCTGTTTTTAATTTTTCATGAATTGAGTGGATTTGATTGATAAAACTTATTTTGTATATTCTTTTAAAGGTTCTAAAGCAGTGTGTTTGTGTTGTATAGTGTGTCATGAAAATAATGTCATTGGCAACAAGTGCAGTTTGTCAAAAAGTCAAGAGAAAGCAAGTCACACAGTCAGAGCAGATATGATAAAAAACCAGGAAATAGCATGAAAAGACAACAGTGTTAAATTAAAATAAAATACATGAAAAGTGTTACAGTGTTTCAAAAAGGTCACAGTAGTATGTCATAACAAATACTGGAATAGCATGTCAAACAAGCAGGGAATACAATCTAGTATAGCATGACATGAATGATGATAATATAGTATTTTAATAAAGTAATAACAACATTAAAGTACAGGCTCACTGAAGACACTCTTTCATTGATGTAGAAAACAGCTATCGGTCTGGATGAACTTCTGGGTTCTGAGCTCTCGTTGCTCTGAACTGACGCTAAATACTGATCCTCAGCTGGACTTGATCGGTGAGACGGTGATTGATACATCAGGGAGTGGTAGTGTGAGTCTGTGGAGCATGTTACATTTACTGAAAGCCATTCCTTGAGCCCATGAAAGGTGTTTTTGATTCAGTTTAAACTACGTTGGGGTGTAACTGTCTTAAGGATGAACATTGGTCCAGTGTAAAATGAAACAAAGCACCTCTTAAAAAAAAACAGTTTTATTGCATCAACGCTTAATTATATATGACTTTTGTATATTTACAATTTCATAATTCTTATGCCTGTAATAAATATCACAACTAAAAGTATTTTTCTAGTCTAAATGTTTAAATATTCTACATGCAAAGTATGTATAGTGTGTGCTTGTCAAATACATTTGCTATTTTATTAGCTATGTACATATCAATCCAATCATCACGCTACTGAAGAGGCGCCGTGAAAGAAAACTCTTTACATGCGGGAGGGACAGTTTGATTTCAGCAGAACTGTAACCACAGTTACTGCAACTCAAAGAACAAATTGACAATAAAACACTTTTCCAGATAACCACTACATGCAAGCAGCGACTAGCTGTGAATTCTGACACTACTGTAAGATGACAGAAGCACTACAAAATGAGTATAACCTTCACAGATTAAAAGAAACATTCAAAACAGAACCAGTGTGATCTACATGTTTTTTCTTTAGCTATTCATCAGTGAACCGAAACCCTTTACAGATTCAAAAGGACTTTTGAAACTCATACATAGAATCCTCATATTCAAGATCAAACACTGTCATAACCTTCCCGTAGTGGAGACACACACGCACACACACTCAAGCTGCAGGGGGAAAACAGCGACCCTCTTCACCTCTAGATGGCACTCCTACACAAACCGACGGCCCTCCTTTACATTTCACTGCAATGGATGATGGGCACAGTGCATAAAATAACAAAACAAAATAAAAAGACAAGAGTAATAGAACACTATACAACGTTTTTCTTCTAAATTGATCTTGTGTGTGTCCATCCAGTAGCCACGTGAGACCGCGTTGTGTCTTTTCCGGTTCACGTGGTGGTTCTATGGCTTCGGCACAAGAGCTTCGACGTGTTTGTGATGTGCCGATCTCCTTCCACGCAGACATACTGTACACCTCGGGCAGACACTATGACTCACTAACTAAAGACGGACTTGATCGCATGCGTTTGACGACAGGGGCGACCACATGTTGAGACGAGTCAGTGCAGGAGTTCAGAGCTCGAGCGGTGGCTTGATGCCCTTCAGGGCCGTGGGAAAGTGCTTCAATCCCGCTCAGTTTTCACAGAATTGTCATGTTTCAAAATTCCTCATCTGTAGTCTACAAACCTATAATCCCACGACGGGAAACTAGTATGGGAAACATTTATTGGGGTAAATTTACTTGAAAAAGCTTAAGGCGATTCAGCTTTTTACAGAACTAAGTTCTAATTCAATTAACTAATTGTGATTTAAAGACAAAAGAAAATCCACCCTCTTGTGTGTTGTGTCTTATTCATTTCCACACACAAAAAATCTTTCAAAGAGATCAATTAAAGCTTAAAAACGTAATTTACTGACGGGATCAAAAGAAGCTGCTAGACACATTTACATTGAGAGTAAAAGGTTCAGCTGTGGGTTGATGAACTTCGTCTCACTTCCCTCCTCCCTTTGTCCTCCAGTACAATCAAAAGGCATTCGTGGAAAAGCAGGAAATCAATAAGAAGTACACAATGCGGACTGACAATGAGCTAAATCCAATCCCCTGGCAATAAAACCTGTGGTGGGCTGAACTCCACAGACCACACTACATCTACAGTTCGATGGGAGCATGGATTTTATTTTGGGAGGATGGATTTTATTTTGTCTTTTTTAATATCACGCAAACAATTGTTGTCACCCAAACAGCGTTCAGACTACCAGAGCTCTGGTGTTCTTTCTCGAATGTTCCAAGGCCCGAAACGCAAGCCCGCTGTTACTGCTTCACCTTTGTGTCCGCTCCACCGCCCGGTGCGTGGAGCCGACGAGCCGCGGCACCTTATTCAAGCCCACAGACGCCGGCGTGGAAAATAGAAAGTCTGAGAGCTGAAGCACGGTGGCACCACGAGCGCCGCAGGAGCTGTGGCCCGACGGCGTGTACGGATCCTTCCGCTTGAGTGGTGGCGAGGTCTGTCATCATGCTCCCAGGAACTATAATAAGGGGGCAGTTGTTTCCTTTCAGGGCCCCTGCAGCCTTCATCAGACTCTTGGTGGGTGACAGATTCACAGCCATGTCTCGCCTGCGGGGAAGGTGGGCAGCTCTGAACTCCTGCACTCAATCAGATTTCTTTTTTTTTGTGTGTAATTTTTTTTTTTGTATTGCATCAGGGAAACAGACAGCGTTATTATGTGTAATGTCAGCCCTTGAGTGTCCCTGTCAGGGTAAAGGGTGTGGAGGGGGGAGGGGAGGGGGGGGGGTCCTGCGTGACTCCTCGCGCTGGCTTCATGGTTTTGTAGCACGTCGGGTGGAGAGGTGCCTCTCGTTTGGAAGAAAGTCAAAATAATCTTTCTAGTTTATTTTGTCTCGCTTTCTTTAATTGTAATTTCTTGTAGTTCTTTGCCTATCGAACGGGGAATAGGCCTCACCCACTGGCATGCACATGCAGGCTGGCTCACCCCCCCCCCACCCCTCCCAGCACCCCCAGCACCCACGCTCCCAGTGGGCGCTGCTACTCCATGCCGTTCCTCAGCATCTGATTGGCCGCGATGAGCATGACGCTGATGATGAACGCCATGGCAAAGGCGCAGATGAGGCTTTTCCTCACGCACGTCTGACGGTTCTTCTTGGAAGGGTGAACTGGAAGAGAAATGAGGGGACAAACGTAAGGCGCCAGTTTAAAAGATGCAGACTTCTCCGCCGCTGACTTCATTCTGAATGCGTTATTATCACCTGCACTCAGAGGAAAAAATGCCACCAAGCACATTAGGCGTGACAGTGTTCACTCCTTCATGAAGTCTGTAGATTTATTAATGGTGGAGAATGTGTAACGCAGCAGTGAACAACATAGTCTTTAGTGATTTAGACCTCTCTGTCTAGACAACAAGCTGCCAAACCTTTGCACAGCAGACATCTATCAACTCAAGTTACTCTCTGCTTGAGCCTCGTGCCAAATGGCAAAGTACAACATTCTCCACAGAGTCTGCGGCCAAAGGAAATGCAGTCGGGTTTCGAGCTCCCGAGATGGTTGCCGGGCAGAACCAACAACTCTGCTCTAGATAGCAGCTGAATGAGCAGCGGGTTACCGGGGAAGTGATCGGCGCAGAGGGACACCGAGGTGAGCGTCACAGCTCACAGGCCCAGACGGCTTTCACAGCGCGAAGCCGTCTGGGCTGGAAGCGCCGGCGCGGTGCAGAATGGGAAGGGCCCACTCAGCCCTGTGAAAGCAGTGGTATAATGCATCCGTACACACTGGAAACAGGCGTTTGAGGATTCATGGATAATTGAGTTGAATTATTACAAACAGCCAAACAAAGGAGACAAAGCATTTCTGTGGTCAGTATGGACGACATCTGAACCTTATTAACGTGCATTCATGGACATCAGAAGCAGGTAGGATCTAATAAATTCAAGCTGCCTTATGGAAAATGTAGCATTGCACACATTTGGAGCGAGACCCATGATTGGAATTAAGGGGGGACCCCAAATAAGCATTTGTCTTTAACCAGCATAATGCATCATGCATAGTGCAGCATATGTTCATATGTTCACAGCTGGAATTTACTGTGCATCTGTGAATCTCAGTCAAAGAAAAAAAAAACTTTTATTGATGCATGTGGAGCAGTGACACAATGACAAAATTAGCTTTTAACGTGCCCTTTTTTATGAGCGGTAGTCTGTAGAAGTGCGGCTCCACTGGTCTTTTAGGTATCTAGCTGGCTGGCATCAATGCTGTGTAGTGCCTTTGAGTGCAGTGTTTACCCGGGGGGGCGCCCACTCTCTGCCCCCTGTTGAAAGCGTGCAGACAGAGAGCGCGCGCTGCAATGTTGAGCCTGGGAGACGATTTCTTTATATTCCTTTTCTAACTAATTTCGTCATTATTTTATCTCCATAGAAGTTTTTTAGGGATTTTTTTTCCCGTGTCAGGTCTGGGAACAAACAGGTCTGTTGAATGCGTACAAATGGGAAACTGATTTTGGACATATATAAAATGAGTCGAATATTGAATTGAAGATATTATAATATGAGGATGTTATAATTAGAATGTATTAGATGGTAATGATTATATCATGTGGGCCATATTATGTTTGGTTGAAGAAGCTTTAGGTCAAAGGTGGAATCATTCAGTGCTTTGTGTGATATTGATTAGGTGAGTGACGGAGTTCCAGGTTCAGCCACCAGATGGAGCCAGTGAGGAAGGTAATAAAATAGCTGGGTGTAGCCGCACGGAGGCGGAGAGGTTTGGTTATGCAGCCAATCACACAAGGCTGTGAAATAATAAAAACACTCGCACGAGATACAAAAACTGTACCAGAGGTGAGACAGAGGCTTCCGGAACTCCTTACTTGACCGTCTGACGCTCTCTCGGCTTTGCACCACGGGCCGGGGCGAAGGAAAAAGTACGCTGAGCCTTTCTTCTGGAGAGGTTTGGACTCCATAATAGTTACATAAGTCAGGGTGTCAATGGAAAGTGCATGCGTTCAGCTGCTGTAGCCGGGCTGTGGAGATGGGAGGAGGGTTGTGGTCCAGACATCCGTTCTCAGTCCAGCCTCATAAAACACCTCCTCGGCCGCCAAAATAACTAAGGCCCTGCCAAATGTCCACAGAGGACAGTGGACCACTGTGGACATGAAGGTAATGAACTGCACACTGGTTTCCAAGCCGCTGACGTACGGCTGCCATATATGTTACGACCCCCGGGTGGTCCAGGGGTGAGGGGACCGTAAACATATGAGCAGAACCTGGTCGGTTGTAAAAGGTACTGTTTATTGGGAACCAGAGGTAGACAGGCAGGTAACAACAAACAAAAGGAGGGTGGATGAGGGTGCTGGGAAAAAGACAAAGTTAAATAAAAGAGATCCCCAAAAGGAGGACTATGCCCGAATATACATTTAAACAAACGATAGGCTCTTACCAAAAAACACAAAGAGCACAGCACCCACTACACCTATGAAGCTAACAGGCACAAAAACTACGTGTGGTGAATGAGTATCGACTCTTGCCCTAACTCCCCCCTTTTGCCAGCCCCGTGCTGGTAAAAACACACGAGAATCAAAACGCAGTACTTCACTCAGTTGCACACAAATACACGCACTTGAGCTTCAAAATCAGATGACCTTTAGGTAAAAAATGTGTTGGTATCGAGATTGATTAAAAAAAGGTGCGATGAAAGTTTAATGTCTTTCCTCTGGACGCTTAGAAGAGGAGCTGGTCAGGTTGGATACTGAGGTTTGGGAACTAGGATCTTCAGAAATAATTACCAAATTTTAGGGTCCTCGGTTTAAGGGATATTCAGTTTAGTTTTAGTAACGTCAGAAACAAAGAATCTAGTTCCCAACCATCCAGTTAATGGTTTTTAACTGCCACATTCTAAATACTTTTTCTAATTCCTAATTTACCAGCAGCACTTTATTACGGAAAACAAATCCCTGTGGTTTCCAAGACCCATTGCTCCGAAAATACCAATCATGCTTGCAACAAACTAATGGACATAGGTAATTACTACGTACAATGATGTCATCAGACCTTTCTTGCAATTTTACTTCTCCTACTGAGGCCTGAACCGCCTCAATCTGGCTTTACCTTTTTCATGATGACGGTCTGTTGGAAAAATGGACTTTTTCAACCGCACAGCCTTTTTTAGTCCATTAACAGTTACTAAATAATGGGAAATGGGAACTTCCCAACGTTAAATGAATCACCTCGTGTGTTCGGGAAGGTTTTAATGCACTCAGAACAGCAGCAGCGAATTTTGTTTGTAAATGAAAAAGAGATGGAGGTGCACATCAACACCGTGCAAAAAACGAACATTTGGCGTACCGGGGGCTCTTCATTCTGTGCACCTGCATGACAGCTGTGACATTTATGGATCAAAGTTGATTTCCACACTTGCGTCCAGCTGCCAGGTGCTCCCCAGACAGCTGCCGCTCTGGCATGTTTCTCTACACTTTTGCTTAAATTCATTAAGTAATTTATCAGTGCATGATGAACCTCTTTGGATGAGCGGTTGGATCTCGTATTCTGCTGTTTTTCAGCACCGCAACATATTGATTCCAGGGTGAGTTGAAGCCAGAGGGGAATCAAGGGCCTCACACAGCAATAAGCAATAATAACCAGAGTAGAATGATGAACGGCGCTCAGCAGGAATCTCACTATGACAAAATGTATTGATTTCTCCACGGCTGAACACCTTTCGGTGTTCCTTTGTGCGGCAGGTAGTGCTCTGGGACTCTGGCTGGGATGAGATTGCTTCGTGTGACCCTGCTGTGGTTCTTCTGCATTGTCATAAACCAATAGAAACAGCACGTCATCACTCCACACCAGTTTATACGACCCTGATGAAGCGTCGGCTCAATCCGTGCCCATCGACATTGACACCAGTCGAGAACAAGAGAACAAACTAAAGGAATGCATAATAAAGGAGTTATTATAATAATAATAAAGGGCCCTGCTTAACTATGCCGTCTTCAGGACCTTTGGGAACTGGGAAGGTTATGACTCTGGCCTCTGACCAGCCGATGCTTCCTAACATGCTGCCGTGCACATATGCTGTTAATACGGAGCCGCCCTGCACACAACGGGGAGCCAGACGTTCTAGAAGTTACTATGTGCCATTCAACTGTAATTGCTTCATGTAAATTAAAGTGCCTTTCAGTCTCTTTGAGTTTCAAAGGAATTCGTTCTGTCAAGACCTCAAAGAAGGCTGACTCACTCAATAGCAATTCAGACAAGGCGCATGAGAGCAAATATACTTGCTCAAATTGCATTGAAATAGAATTTCTTTGAAAGAAATAATTACGTTTCCCATTTTGGCGGTAAGAGAGTGAAAAAGTCCTGAAATACCCCCCTTCACCCCCGCCCCCTCCCTCCTCCGTCCTCCACCCCCGCTGCTCTGATGCATGAATCTTGGATGGCTAGTTTTTGCAGAGTGAGGTCATGAATGTTTCAGCCGCGTCACTTCTGAACCAGTGATCATCTGACGGCCCGAATCAATGTATCAGCAGGTGTGCTGTGATTTGGCAGATTTTGATGAGGAGGCTCAAAATTCTTCCTGACAGCATAGATTACTTTCTCTCCAGTCACACACACACACACACACACACACACACACACACACACACACACACGGACGTTTGCTCACCTCCCTCAAACTCTGTCTGACAGTTCCCAGAGTTCTCCTTCAGGCTCTCTTCCTCGTTGATGATGATGTTCTCGATGTCCTTCATGGTCAGGTGGTCACGGAAGGCGTAGAACAGGATGTGTTTCAGCTCCTCCAGTGTGATTCTCTGCATGTCGAACTGCCGGAGGAGACGCATGAGAGGAGGACATTGTAAAGAAAAAGAACAACCTGACACACACACACAGACAGATACAGGGTTTGAAGGTCTTACAAAGAGCAACTGTAAAGTCTTCCTTGGTTCAGAAAAAAACTTCCTTAGGAACACTACTTGGGTATTGATTGCGTGCTTGAGAGCAGCAATTTTCTTCACACCTGAACGCGTTAACAAAGAGTGATATTATTGTCTATGGATATATAAGCACCATCAGCACAGAAAACGCCAATAAAAAGGCTTCAGTGGCAGGAAGGGAGACAACGTGATAGACACGTGACTGAGAAACAGTGCGGTATCATCACAAAGTCAAGATGCAATCAAAAGGACGGAATTCCTCTAAATCAGTGGGAATGTTGGCAAACTCACTCTTATTTATATGAACTGACTCAATAAAAACAACTCATTTTATCATGCTATTGCTAAATGCTCCTTTGGGGTAAACGTCAGGTGACTCGTCGGTGCAGTAATGATTTGCCGTACATGATGATTTAAAGTGATATCACAGACTTGGCGCCTCTCTCTCCCTTGTCCAAAGCTGTAGGTGTGACAGTAAACTCTCAGTACGAGGGAAATAAAAGAATAGAAGGCACATCATACGGTGAAAGACGGAGTCTCTGAGCCCTGACAGGTCTACGTGAGTCCAACTGTGAGATCAAGGGAAACCTTTCTTGCAAAGTACAAACTTGAATGGTTTTTAACAGTTCGTATTACTTTTGAAATAAGTTTTGTCTGGGCTGTAAACGCAGAAAGAGCTCACTTCACTAATCTGGGAATATGTTGGATTCACAGAAAAGCCTTTACTTAAACATATTTCCTTAAATTTAACAAACAAAGCGGTATAGTTAGTATTAGGAAAGAAGGAAAAGAAGAGGAGTTGAAATAAACCCTTTTTGGCAGAAAGCCCTGAGGGCAAACCTCTCACATGACAGTTGGTCGTATTTATCAGGTGAGCGCCCGGCCAATATGCAGAAAATACTATTATATATTATATGCAATAATATGTGCAAAAATAATCAGTGTTGCATTGAAAGACTTAGTGGATGAAGCGGCACAACATTTTGTGTGTGCGTTTGTGTGGTGACAACTTCCCTCCCAATTCCTTCTTTACTGCGATCGCCAACATCTGATCTGCTCCGGGTGCTTCCTGCCAGTCCGCTGGCTACACGTTACGCACACATTATGCCACTTATACCAACGGTGTAACACGTGACCTGCTCGGACAGCATGTTACAATCTCTTTTCTTCATCTCCTCTTGTCGTATACATTCTGATAGGGTTTATTTCTTTTTAAAAGACCACAAAGTTTGGTAAAATACAATGAGAAATGGGTTTGAAAAAAAGATGATTGTAGAATTGTAGAAACAAATTCAATAGAAGACTTAAAAGCCATTTCGTCTTAAGAACCGTTGACAAATGTGTCTGGGAAGCAACGCGACTAGAAGCAACTCACACGTTCTGTGTGAGTATCATCGTCCGTATTTACAGCATCCATCATGTGCGATTAAGTCAGCATTAAACTGATGAGTTGTCCCCCGCACATCAGAGCTCTTTTCCCTTCGCTCGTCTCCCTCAGGCAAACAAAGACAAAATGATAACGCTAACCGATCCTTAAACAGATGCACCCTGGGAAATCCTGCAGCATCTGCCATCAAAAGTTACAGCCAGCCTGAGAGTCGCTTCTCCCAGAGGGAGACGCGTCGCCTGCCGCCTTGTGTCAACGTGACCTCCACGCAACCCTCGCTGCTCCGAGCGACGCCGTCGCTGCCGGACATCGAGGGACGACGGCCCGAGATTCATTTGGCGGGGAATCGAGGGACGGAGGACAGGTTCACTCACAGATGGCAGATGAGGAAAAACACATTATTTACCCTTTCTACATCACATGGACCTGCATTCACATTCAAGCGTGGAGTGACCTTTCTGGGAGAGTGTTGAAAGGAAGGAAGTGAAAAGAAGGTCGCATGAAGTGACTCAGACGAAAAAAACAAACATCTTCAGCTGGACATCCGTAGTTGAGACCTACAGTATATGCTGAACCCGGTGCACAGACACCTTCAGCAGTCTCCAGGCCGCAGTGTAATCACATCTCTCAAGAGGGCTTTTAATGGAGACTCAAACCTGCAGTAGTTACAGCTCGTGGGAGCCTCGCAGTGAAATGACACAGAACCACAGAGTGATTCACTCATTCATCTATATTAAAAATAGCTTTTACCACATAATCGCGTTATCAAAGACTCCGACTCTAATGTATGTGAAGTCACGGGTTGGTTGTTGATGAAACTGAATCTAATAATAAGAAAAGGAATATTTTTTTTCCTACTTTTGACAGATAGAAGAACTACGGTCTAACGTGACACAATAGCGGCTGAGTTCATCCTTTTTGACGACATTTGTTTTGCTCAAATGTCGTATTTTATAACCCCCGAATCACTAGTTAGGTGAAAATTAAGGCCGGAATGTTTTGACTAAAGTAATAAAGTGTTACAGCAGAAGGTGAAATGCGCCTTTTTGTTTACAATGTGGCTTGATATTATTTTAATTTTTTTTTAACTGCATAATAATGTTGCAGAACCTAACATGATGTCACCATGGCCCAAAGCTCCGTTGCCGCCAGAGAGAAAAACTCCACTTTTTTTTTTCAATGGGGAAGGTTTTGTCTCATTTTCTTTTAGTATTTGACGCATGTTGAGGTGCATGTCAAAAACAAAGGTAAATTTGTGTCTTTATTATGCAAACAAACAAATCTACCTTCATAGTAAAACAGATGAAATTGCAAGAGACAGCTTTGTGCCCGTAGATGTATTGCTTGTGCCTCCGTATCAGACACTTAAAAGAAAAAGGTATTTGATGAGCTGAAAGCGCTGCCCACTCCGCGCGCTGCTAGCTGTGCTTTACAACCCGGCGATCAGAAATCTCCCAAATACAGCAAAATAATAATAATAAAAATCAATTACAGACAGAGGGCAGGATCTCTATAGACACCACCACACATTTCTAGTGGGTCATAATGATTGCAATATTTTTGTACACGTTTACAAAATGTTTGTAACCTTTAATGTCCACAACATGCAATTAATAAGCTCTCCACAAATCTACCAGAGTCCAGTGAGACAATGGTCACTTCCCCCATAACTCATAGAAACTATCTTTTCTTATTCTGTTCCACCAATAACTAACTCTGAGAGTTTTACAGGGACACTGAAGTACCATAAACATGACATGTCATAAAAAAACAATATAACAGGAAATGGGAAGGATATTGTTTCTATTTTGAGTTTAAACGCCCTTCAGCTACACATCAATTTGTTTGGAAACAGGGTATGAGAATACAGACGCTCATTTTAAGATGGACGTTTTGATTCTATTATCTGCATCTCATATTGTGTCTTCAGCCTGTGTTCTTATCCACACTGCCACACATACTTTATAATGCTCCAAGGAGACTACGGGAGCTTCTGATGCAAGACAAATCACCATGGGAGCAGATTAGACAAGTACTGTCTTCAAATTTAAAATGAAAAAAAATCTCTTCGCAAAATTCAATGAAACCATAATTACCATAAGAATAATCAAGCTGAATCCAAGGCGATGCATTGAGGTGGATTTTCTCACCCAGCCTACATTGTCCTTGGATTAAACCATGGACGTTATTCGATTTTAATCAATCGATTGCCTGACTGTGCTTCACACTACCAAGTCAATTTAGATTCTGGAGATGAGTACGGGTAGACGTCGTTAAGAGGAAGCTCTCTACTTCTCCACACTTGTAAATGAGACGTGTTCAGCTCCTCGCACATTCAGGCGCTGAGAAGGTGCCAAGGGCAAGCATCCAACCATCTGCTGAGTTCAGCGCGCTGCATTACAGCCAAATTACACAGCAACAGATTGATCTCTGCACACACTGTACAATCCAATTATATGCATTTGCTAATCTCACACCGCGCAGGCAAGTATTTAGCTTTTTTAAACGGCAAAAATGTTGATGCATTTGAAACATGCTGCAGGTGGGGAGAAACTTGTACGTCACTGGATTTTAATTGAACATAAAGTTTAGCAAAAGACATCTCAACAAGTCAGTAATTGAAACAAAAGTCACCATGGCTGCAATATTCTCACCAAACACCATGTCCTGAGTTGGGAGAACGTAAATTCACTAATGCCTGTCTGGTTTTTTATTTTACATTGACTCACTAGATGGTTTCGCTGTTTCACACAGGTCAAGCTCGTTTAGAAAATCTACATCCTCTGGGAAGGCAGCTCAACAGAACACGTACAGAACCTTCCAGAACAACCTTAACGATTGGCTCGTGCCAACCAGGTTAGCAAGCATTGATGTGCTGTCTGTCCTGCCTGCTTGTTTCACATATATGTGCATTTGTCTTGCTCTGTGTTGCCATTTTCTCTGTATATGTTATGGGCTCCAGCGTCATGCTGTCAAGGTGCTTTTACTGTAGGTGGGTTTGTTCTGCTTGACGGCTGCTGCAGCCTGTTATGGTTGCTATAGTTTATTGTCGTACAATTTTCTTTTCTTTTTCTGCATACTGGTTTCAGGGGGAATTTAACAGTCGGAGTGCATTGTCCTTGCAAAATGTCTTAATAAATAAATAAAAATAATAACCTCTTTGTTTCACCCTTACTCACCCTGACAGTTATGACAGAGCCTAAATGTGTTACAGAAATGTAATATTTTCTAGCGTTAAACCAACAAACTTACACGTAACGTTTCATGATGTCAACCCGACTTTAGAAGCAATCTTGCAGACAATGTGCTTATGTAATGGCACACTACACCTCTGGTCTTTTGCTTCAGTCCCATGTTGCAGCACTTTTGCACTGATGGGGAAGATAAATTTGTCTCTATCTACGAACAAAAGGAGGTGGACATCAAAGACAAATTTGCAAAAGAAAGTAGGTCTCGTCATGACTTGATTCCATTTAACAATCCCTGAGCTGTCACTTTTTGA